GTATGCCTTTCAAATCAAAACGTGCATTCGCCATTTAGCTGTGCTTGAGTAATCGTGCCGCTAGGTGCAAACTTATACCCTTTGTATCCATTATTCTATCTTCAATATGTATCAAAGCAGAGATTTACTTCTAATCCCGACTGCGATATGTGAATCATAGCACGCAGGTCTCCTTGATACTCTTCAAGCACCTTCCTTCCAATTCCACAATGCAAAGAGTATCTTTATCTCTAGAGTCCCTCATAGTATTTTCATGCTTCTCTAATCAAATGAGGCTATCCGCGCAATCCCTAACATTCCAGCACTTTCACACAATGCTTCATACAGTCATCGGTTGCTCTATCATTCCTTCCTACGTCAATATACTGGTGAATGCTCTTGGAGTTCTTGATGATCCACAAGTTCACATACACATCCTTTAAAGTTTCACATGTAACCATGATTCAGCACCGAGTCATGGAAACTCACCAACATATTCTCGCAAATTAATGTCAGAGGCATCAGGATGTTTGCTACACATTCAAATAGCCGTTGCTGGTGGTTAAACCACAGCTCATATAATGCGAAGTTATCTCACAATGACTTACAGTCTTTTATTGAGGCTCTCCACGTCTAGCTCTCAAGAATAGCTTGAATGTCGCTTGATCTCTGTTGCCTTGTCTGTTTGCACACTTCATTCACCACGATATTTCATCTTTCGGCAATTTCGAAGGTATTTCGATAGTCATTCTCTGCACCACAACCACAACAGATTCTGCTCTATTCAGTCTCTTTCTGCTATCCTCTCCACAGCTCAGTCCATTCACACCGCTTTAAAACACATTTTTCGCCCAGTTCTGAGGCATTTTCCACCACACAGCATCCGATTCGATTTCTTTAGTCCTCGTCGCTCCGATATTGTGTCACCGCCTTCCTGGCGTCAATCTTTGCTTGCAAAGATTCTATCCAGCCTTGTTTACACACGCGTAACCTCGTCTTCGCCAGTACCAGCATGTCCTCAACGCTCGACGCACCAACTCTACCCCTCCCACGACGCCTCACACCGCTTCATATAGACACCAATGGCCCCTGGACGAATTCCCTTCGTGACCTGGACGACTTCCACGATATACCACTGAATCAACATTTCCCACACTCCTTCCAGGGCCTCGCAGCTCTCACAATGGCGTCTTCACTGACCCCAAACCTCTCCTCCTCGCCGACACGCAGCAATATAAGCATTTCCGGCGTGTCTACCACCTCCTCAAAGCTCCACGCCCTCTTCAACTCTTCCACTGTCACCTACTTGAAGCAGAAGACCGATCGAATGAGTCATAGATACAGCATCCAAGCGATGAAAAACACCGTCGCCGCAAGAAAGAACGCCAAAGCCGTCGAAGCCCTCCGCACCGCCGACGCCAGACTAGCAAAAGAACGAGAGAGGGATGAGTTGAAGCGCGTTCAAGCTTCTATACACTTCCTCCCACCCTCCCCAAGCACCACCAACCGCCTCTTACACCACTGCAAGAGTTTTCGGACCATTTCTGAAGCTATACAAAAGCACCCCGGCCTCTCCCTCTCCCTCCTCCTCCTCCAACTCGGCCTCCTCTCCCTCGTCGCGTCCCTCACCACCATTTTCCGGCCCACGGCTGGCCAAAAACCCGTCAAACCCGGCAGCGGACTCCTCTTCTGGACCGTCCTCTCAATTGCAACAATGCTCATCGGTTTCGCATCCTCCCTCCTCTTCCTCCTTTCCCTCTTGGCAAAGTGCTCCAACCACTGTCATGACGAGGAAGGTTTCGAGCTTCAGGACTTGGAGAGAGGGGATCGGGTGTTCCCTGCGACGGGGTATGAGGAAGGAGGGTATGTCTCTATTTTGTCGGATCCAACGCCTCCGAGGCCACAGCCAGTAATCGTAGCTCGCGCCGAGCGCCGACGGGGTGTCTTTGGACACGACAGATTCTCTGGGCATCATTTGAAGAGGATTTCGATGTTAGGTGAGAGGGGGGAGATGGGGGAGAGTCAGAGGGATCTATTAGAGGATGCGGAGGAGATGGGAGCTGGGCCTTGGGTCCGGGGGAGCGATGGAAGTCGATTTCGGGAGGAGTTGGATGAGTAGGGAGTGTTTGGGGGCGTTTACGGGGGTTTCGATGGTGTTCATGACTGTTGAGTACATAGAACAGAAAGAGAACGCGAGAATTCAAGAGCTTGATCATCGAGACACGAAATTTTCGCGTGCCGTTTTACTACATTCAATATTATTTTCATCTGATGTCGTGGTTGAATATTGTGAAGTACGCGAGATTAAGCGAGAATTCGATGTGAAGTCAGTAAAGTGATGCTTATTTTAAAATTCAGATATTTGTATAGTTGTGATGTTCAAGTGTTGTTTTCGTCTGAAAGTCGAGTTTAAACTTCTAAATAAGCGAATTTAAGCGAAAATTTGAAGTGATGCTTGTCAAGTGAAGCATGTCGCAAAAGTTAAATATTTATCTTGTTTTCGTATATTAAACCCTTGTTTTCATCTAAATTCTGAATTTTAAAGATAATAGTAATAAGACAAAAGTGACGTGTATTTACGAGACAAATAACTTTTATCGCTATCCTGTATTTTATACTGGTTTTCGTCTGAAAACCCGACCTTTCAAAGCTAACAAAAGACGGCGCGACGAAAATAAGGTGTATTCACGAAGGATGATATTCATCTCGTTATTAAACATTTAGCACCTGTTTTCGTCTGAAACTTGATTTCGTATGTAGGATAAGTGAGATGTGAGTGAGGCTTTCAGACAAAGGCAAATCGATTTTTGAAAAATAAATTGTATCTCCTTGTCGCACATTCAACTGCTGTTTTCATCTGAAGATTGATACATGCGATCTGATATAGGTATATCTTCATTTGTCATTACAACTACCCATAACATTACTATACTATCATCATATCGCTCTCTCCTGCCTCTTCTTATTTTCCCTGTGTCTCTTCTCCTTCGCAACAATCTTCTTTCGTTTCTTCCAAGCCCTGTTTGTCTCACCACGATTCTCATAAAACCATTTTTGGAAATCGCTTTCTGGTGCAGTAGCCTCTTCCTTTTTTCCCATCTCCTTGCTCATCCCAGCGTCGGACTTCTTGCGAATCGGCGAGCTTGGTGCTTCGTCATCGTCTTCATCGTCATCTTGATCAGGCTTAGACTTTGGCCATAAGAATCTCTTGTTTGCATGTGCGGTGTCGGGTGTGGGTGCTGCGCTACGGATGCCTCTATACTCGAAATCTCGTTGCGTAAATGGTGTGAGGGGGACTTTGTCATGAGCTTCTTCCATTTCTTCATCGCCATCTGCATCTGCGCCGAAGAAGCTAAATGTTGGATTTGGTGGGACGACGGTATCTTCTCCTTCTGGTTTGGACTTCTTGTAAAGGGCTTCGAGTGGGTGGACTTCTGCAGAGATAGGTGTTGCTGTTATCGCGGGGCTGGGTATCTTGATGCTTAGGTTCAATGGTGGTCCAGATGCAGATTGAGGGCGTGAGACAGGCCTGGAATCAATTTGTTCTTCCGAGGACTCCGACGAAGATTCATCTACAGAGTCGTCCTCAGAGGATGAGTCTGACGAGTCCGCTGAGTCAGAATCGGATTCTGCATCCGATTCTTCAGATGATGATTCAGAACTTGATGCAGAAACCTTGTCCTTGACCTCCGGAATCGCTACCACTGTCGGTTTTTTCGCAATTTGACTTGATTGCGCATCGGAACTGTCTGACTCTTCATCTGAGCTGGAGCTATCACTGCTGTCTTCCGACGATGAATTGACTTCCTGTGCGATTACCAACGGCGCTTTTGGTGCGGCCTTTGCCGGTTTGGTGACCTTTCGTGATTTCTTGACCTCCTCCACCACATTCCCATCTTCGTCTACCCACCCCTTGCCTTCCACAAATTCCTTAACGCCTTTCGCAGTCTTACTCGTAGAAGTATCCCTCAAGAATGTCGCAAACTTCTCCGTCTTCTTGAACTCGTGAACCAGAACTTCCTTCCCGGCCTTCCTTTTCTTCTTGTCTGCCTTTGCATCTGCAACCTTTGTATTTGATGCAACATTCGGAGGTAAAACCGTTTTGAATAGGCATTCCGGACCGCTTGTAAATTTTGACTTGACTTTCTTCTCGTCCTTTTCCTTTTCCTTATTCTTGCTCGATTTTGTCGTTGCCGCCGGTGTCGTCCATCCTCTCTTCACCTGTCTTTCTCCTATCTCCGCCGCAGGTATTGTCTCATCGCCCCTCTTGCGCTTCTTCGACGAGTCTTTCCTTGGCTTTTTAGGTTGTTCTGGTTCGTCCTTCTCAATCACTGCTTCTTTCGTCGGTCGCGCCTTCTCAATTCGAACTTTCGTGCCTTTCAGAATCGACCCGTTCAGCTTCTTCTTTATCTTCTCTGCATCCATGACCGGAAGCTCTAGGAAACCGTAGCCCTTCTCTGGGAAAGTTTGTATAGTATGGTAGGATACGTTGCGCGCGTTTGGCAGGATTGAGGGCGGGAGGATAGTCGAGAGGAGGTTGGGATTGAGCGGTGTTATGTGTAACCTTGTGTATTCTGTTTCGATATTGGGTGACGCGGCAGGGACGGTACTGGTAGCCATTCTATATTCTTGCCATACCCAACGGAGCTTCGTCGTGGAGTAAGCTGCTGAGGGGAAGAAGTCGTGGTGGAGGAGCTTGCAATATTTCTGCGCTGCCGGCTAAAAGGCGGAACAGCTTTTTCCAGGGACAGCTTGAGCTGTCAGAATGCTGTCACGTGTATTGACAACACAGAGCTGCAGCGCATTTCCTCAACTGTTATCTATACGTTCAGAATCGTCCAAGCAGATGTTCGGGTTGCCTTGCATGCATTTTACGGGGTTTTCCATGACGGCAAGCTATTTTGATGGTAGTGGACCCCAAATTTAGCCGTTTCTTCGGAGAAGAAGCGACCGACTCACCGCCTTTTTGCAGTTTAGTTCATGTTAGCAAATAAGCAGCTTTCGAGCATAATCCTCCAATCGGGCCTGTGGTTTAGGGGTATAACGTTCGTTTCGCATCACTAAGTGGTTATGAAAGGTCCTGGGTTCGATTCCCAGCCGGTCCATCAGCTGAAAGCAAGTCCATTATAATTGTCTGGACTTAAGCTTCATTTTTTTCATTTTTAATATTCTTTTTAGTGAAAAAATATTAGGGTTAAAGGGTAATTAGACTGCTTTTACTCTTTCTTATTGTATCTTTTATAGTATTATCTATATCTCTAGAGCTATATCTGTCCTTATCTAGAACCCTTGTAAAGAGGTTTATACCTATAATTTAGACTGAGATGTTTCATATTATCTTTATGAATACAAGGGAAATTTGAAACCTTCTCGATACTTCTTCTAGTCCGGGTTTCCGAGTCTTAGACAGTTTAAAAATAAAAAAATGATCTATGACTTAGAAATTATATAAAAGCGTATTTAAACAAGAAATAATCTTTTACATTTAAGAACAAGACCAAAAATGCAAGTTACTTCAAGCACCCTCACCACTTCTTGGATGTACAATAATTCCAAGGGGATGTATAGCTTGAAGGTTCCCTTGAGCTTGTTCAAGAGAAGTCCATTTCTTCCAACGCTGTATATGTTCAGATTTAAACTTTTTAAATTTTAATTTTCTAAAAGAAATTTGGTGAAGAACTCTTGTTGGGATATCTCTTGTTTTCCTCAACAGACCGATCCCAATCTTTTGTCCTTTTTTGCTATTGAACCCATAACGGTGTCTGCTATTCTTTTAACGCCACAGTTTTTTTTGGTTGAGACCCGGACGTTTTCAGTACGAAAGTTCTGGAAATGGAAATTTTGTGGATATCAGCTGTAAGCGAGCAACTTCAAAAGAGCCCCACTTGTAACCAAGTCAAGTAAGCATGAACTACGACCTTGGAATAAAGCATTTTGCCTTTTCAGATACCTACCTACTTGATGTTGGACGCTGCAAAAATGTTGCATCGCCTTGAATTAACGTACAACCTAGGCTCTTTGCCCGTTTACCTGAAATATGGACGAACTCTAATTCGAGACGTGTAAAAGAACACTTCTTAACAACAGCACGACTGCAACCCCCCATAAACATAACGTAGGAGTATGTTGGAGTGAGACAACCGTTGTTTTGCTCAGGTCACCCTGAAGTTTATCCTAAAGCTGTGACAATCGATATCGTTCACATGAGTGTTGCCCTGGGAAGATCTGTATGAGAATAACACACTTTGACTTAGGCCGTTGCTTCCCAAACCATCATTTCTAAATGTCATTTCTGCTCATAGAGGGGTCTTTGAAATCCGGGTTATATGTACATCTACAACTTCTTCTCCTCATCATTCGAACCCCAAGCATCAACATGCCCATGCACATCAAAATATCTCTGCATTTCAGGAAAGTCCTCCGAATCCTTTGGGCAAAAGCCGTATCGTTCAAGCATATGTGCAGGCATTGTTCTATACTCATCAATCCATTCGTAGCAGGCTTCTCTCTCCGGAGCATTAGCCCAAGCCGTGAGTTTCTCCCAACTTCGGCACTGCATGATCATTCCGTCACCTGTCGCACGTGGACGGCCGTTGATTGAGTGCATTGGAGTATCTGATGCAGAACATATGATCCGTTGCCTCAGTGCATCGAGACAGTGACTGATATGACCCTTTGCGAGTGATTGTGAGACACCTCGCCTATACTCGCTGATGCTATGGCGGATGATTTTCTACGCCGAGTTAGGGTCCATAGGGAAAGTAGTCTTAAATGGACCTACAAGACAGTGAAGATCATGGAAGCCCGAAATCCAATAAAACCCCTTTTTGTCATTCCAAGGGAACCGATCAGCTATAGGGATACCATTCTGTATGGCAAACTGATCCGAAAGCGTAATTGCTCCAGGACTTGTATCAAGTAAGTCCCAATAGGAGTCTGCGATCGTATCATTATCGTCGGAAAATCCACTGTGTACTTCAAATGTCATATGTTCGTCGAGAGGTAGTCCTGCTGTACAAAATTGTAAGTTCCTTGACTCCGATGCCTGTCGAAGTCAAACATACCGAATTTTGAGAGATTATGTCCTTCGCTTTTCCATCGGGTAGTCAGAATGTACGAGAACATCAAGAAATTGAGGCATATTGATATTATGGCGATTATCGTTACCAGAATTGAGTATCCTGTGGGACATGCTGCAGTTCTGGGAGGGTTTTTCTCGAAACCATCATCGTTCCCTTCTAGGGGTTGGTAAGTTTTCGATCCCAACAAACCCATCTTGAATTCATTAGCCTTGAACATATGATTTGTTGGCATGCGGCGAAGTGTTTCAATTCTTCTTCAAGTTGGGCGCAGGTTTGAAGCAATGCACCCACAAACGTGATCGACGATCCTCAGGTTCTTTGCCACGAGCTTTCTTATCATTGCATGTATTTTTTAATTAATCACAATCGGAGATGAGGGCATGGAATTAGGCTCGAGCTCATAATGCATCTGATTGGGTCATTAAAATGTTGCCATTTAGGCATTTCTCCGCCTATTGCCAAATTCGGCTATTGTGGTCATGTTTTTGCAGTCAGGAGTAACCACTAGCTTCAATGTAAGAAGAACGAAGAAGTGGCTTATTAAAATACGTTTTCGGCTTTCCTTAACTGCCAAATATTCATCCTCGCGGTGGACAAAAAACCGCGGACTTGACAGTCACCTATAGGATGATCAAAACAAGTTATAATGTGCGACAGCAACATACACATCAGGACGTACCTTCCCTCTTTGAATGGTGTTTTCGTCTTATCCTCGGTATTTTCCCCTGCCTTTCGTTTCGTCATCGTAGGATGTTTACAAAATGCGCAAGAGGTTCTCGTTTTTTTTTGTCCATCGCGAGTCATCTTCCAGCCATAATCGCATCTTATTGCTTAGAATTAACCTTTGCAGGATTATTCCGCAGTGGTCATAGAAATCTAATCACCACCACCGAGTTCCTCGAAACAGATCCACTTCTCCCCTTTCCATTTCACATTGGAATCTAGTCAACAGTTGGAGTCCATTGGAATAAATGATCCTCACAAATCTATCCGATCCAACTTCACGGTTATGGTAGTTTCCCAGTCTTAATCGATGTTCGCCTTTGGTCGTTGTCGGATTTCATCTCTTGGCTGCATCTCGCGCAACCCACGAGCGACAGGTCGTCGGACCATTGTACCAAATCCATGAGTGATAGGTAACTCCTCTGCCTCGATCTCAATATCCTCGGCAATCTTCTTCTCCCTCAAACATAGAAAATTTGCCCTAATTTGTTTCCAGTTCTCTTCTAGCTGTATACCTCCTACCTTTCTTTGTACTGCGTATTGGTAGATGTCTGCGGCGGTCTCAGAAACCAAAATTTCCAGCCGTGATCGAAGTTGAGACCGAATTCTTTCTTCTTCGGGATCTTCGCGAATATCGGGCTGGAGAGCAAATTAATGTTGATTACTGTGGCGAATCCTGCCATACAATGCATGATCTTGGCATTTGTGAGGTAACCTAGGAAGAAGCTGCTCAGTTCAGAGAGACATCTTGAGAATTAAGCACTTCCTTGAATGCTGGTAATGCAATGCATACTTGTACTTCGTGCCGGCATATGTATTAGCCATGATGAATGTACGATCATGTGTATCTTTTTAACTCACAGAACAAACGAGAACATCGTCTTCTTTAGCCATTCATCCCGGGTCGAAGAGGCAATCCTCCATATAAAGCTCCCGTCTTTTTCTGTTTTAGTCCTCGCGGACTAAGTTTCTTCTGCTCCTTAGGCATGGCATCCTCGATATCTTCTGCTATCAATCCACCTCTGATCAATACAATGCCCTTGATGATATGCCTGCAAGGCTGTGGTACCACCCAAACCTCGCCATCACCTAGCTTCCAGCGTTCGGGTCCATTTCGGATAGGGTTTGCAATTTCGTGAGCCGAAAGTCGATTCATGTCTATTTTGATTCTCATTAGTTGATACTTAGTGACTTGCGAGCCCTGCGACTGTGTCCTTGTCAGACCAATTAATGCAGAGATTGATAGATAAGAAACTTACGCATTAGTTAACACGAATTTAGGGGTAGCCTTTGTAGTTCACGTGCAATGGTACGGATGTACCAGCGAGTAGTCCTTGCACGAATTCAGCTAGGGCAGCCAAACCACCTTCCGCACAGTAAAATAGTTGCGGCCGGTTGGGCAGGTCGTCTTCTTTTGTTTCTTGGGAAGGTTGTTGTCTGATTTGTGAAGCTCACAAGATTGAAGTCGTGTGAGAAAATGGAAAAGTAAAGAATGAATCTGAGTGAGGAAGGATATTCCTGAGCATATAGTAAGCGAGTTGCGCTAGCAATCATCTTGCATTTCAAAAGAGGCGCTCGTAGAAACCATGTCCTGCTTAGAAAATCCTCTCGAACCTCATCTTCAAAAGCTTCGTAATAACTTCTCCGCAAGACACCACGGCCTACCACGGCCTACCACGGCCACATCGAGTCCTCAGTATGCTCCCCTTCACGATTAAACGTCCGTATTTCGGAGTCAAAATTTTCGCCGCCCAAAATTGAGCATTACTCCGGCAATCATGTCAACTCCCTGGCGACCAAGGTGCCCAGGCACGAAAGGTCGCTGCGAAGGCTAGAGTCCACGAAGAGAACAAAGTCTCAAGAAAAAGAAGGAAAAATATGCAGCCAAAAAGTTTGTGAAGAAGTTGGAGAAGGAGCGAGGAGTTTTGATGGGTGAAAGAACTCCCACTCAACAACAGTCGCTAATGCTATTACTTCAAATGATACTACGACTCTTAACTCGCAGGTGCATCAGTATTTGCACATTTAACGCACAAAAATAAGTTCCCGGTCTTCGAAATCAATGACGGCAAGAGTCTCGCAGTTGCTTCGAAGCGATGTTCTGATGGAACGTTCTCATGGCGATGGTTATGTCGATTTGATCATGCTTCATGATGAGGGAGAACATGACTGCACAATGCTCAGCAACGATAGACTACTCGTTCGCGCTGCCCAATACCTCATTTGGGCTCTTCGCAACCTCGATGCAGTCACACTGGAGGGTGCTGCCACCGTGCAGTCAGTTCCTTGTACATTCGATA